AAAAAAAAAAAAAGAGGAGCAATAGTAAACACCTCAGTTTGCTTTAAATGAAGTGCTTCAAGTTCTGAACTGTTTACCCGGCTCATCCCTGGGAGGCACCTATGGAAAGCTAGCTGTCTAGACCTGGTCCCCATTTCAGGCAGCTGTGTGTAAACACCTGTGTCACAGCACAGTTAATTTTCTTGCTGCTCTCCAGGGAGTGAACACACTTTTCTACTCTTTCCCAGCCTGAGTCAGGACCAAGTGGAGAGGCTTCTGCCACATGGAGCAGGAACTAACTACCACAGTTCCTTTCCTAGGGAGCTTTAAACTCTCTGCCTGTACTAATAAGCCTCCTTCTTTTAATGGGAACAAATAATTAGCCAATCTTTACCTCTGGTGAAGAGGAAACAGACCTCTGCAAACTTTTCTTAGAAATAACCTGCGGTTAGTAATAAACAAAGGCAATTGTGTAAGCAGTTAGTTACAAATAAGGACGCTGGACTTTCTTCCTGTTTTATCAGTTAGGCAATTCTTGTGACTAGTTTCAGGACCTGCTCACCAGTGAGCACAGTGAAGTGGTGGGAATAAGGACATTCAGAGAGTGGTGTGAAGGAGAGACAGAAGCATTCTGGCTTCATATTCTCTAGGCGCCTGGGTTTCCTGAGGTCATCACACCTGCAGCAGAAGGGAAATGGCCACATTGAAGGTAAGAAACTATCTGGCAGTTGATGTGGCGTCCTCAGCCAGAACTTATGGAAACTTCTGAGAATTCCAGAGCATGAGATTTGGAAAGGACTTAGAAAGGCCCTGGTCCAAACCTCTGTCTTTACCATGGTGTCTGTAGGCATGGCTGGGGCTGGCGGGTGATGGAGAGATCATTAAAAGAAAAAAGAGAGAGATATGCTCTTATTGTCCATCTCTTCTCTTTGCTCATTTCAAATATTGTCTTGGGAATCTGTAGATGTCATAAGGGCTCCCTGCCACCATAGGCAGGCACATTTCTCACCATCTCTATTTCCCAGCCCCAGCTGTCCGACACCTGACTGTTGCTGTGGCTTCCTGGACTGCCTCTAGCTGACCAATTAGATATATTTAATCTACTCAGTTATTTTTAATTTTTTTTTTAAAGATTTTTTTTTATTGGGGAATTGGGGGGATGGGAACAGCGCTGGGGAATTGGGGGGAGGGGAACAGGCAAGTTGCTGTCATTTTGTTCTTCAGTCTAGTTGTGGAGGACGTTGCTTCACTGGCCCAAGTGGCACCATGATTGCGCTCTTCCCAGGCGAGGCAGATCAGTTGCCGGCTTCTGGACAGCCCCTCACTGCGACTGCTGGCTGCTCACGCTGGCTGCTGGCTGCTGGCTACACACAGTAGCCCATGGCAACCCACTGCAGCAAGGGCTGCAGCCTACGCCATCGCCAGTGACTCACAGCAGCCCAGCACCAGGTTGAGCTGTCGTCCAGCATCTTAGCTGTGGAGGGCAGTGTCACTGGCCCTCATATGTGGGATCCGAACCGGAGCCCTCTGGCGTCCCAAGCCAGTTCTTAACCATCACGCCACTCGGCCGGCCCTACTCAGTTATTTTGAAGCTCACAATCAGCCCTTGGCCAATAGAAGTCCTAGCATTTCCTCTAGAAAATAATTCCTTTTTATTATGTATGTGCAATTAAAAAGTATATGTGGGTTATGTGGTTATTAATGAATTGACTCATATTGTAATTGTGGGGTTGTAAAAACATACTTTCTTCCTACCTTCTAAGTTCTTCTAGCTGGGCTAATAATTAAACTCACAGAGACAGATTAATAGGTGAAAACGTCCAAAGTTTATTATGTGGATGTACATTCAGGGGTCCATAACAATGTGACCCAAAACACGTTGGGCAGTTTTGCCATGCTGGACAAAGGAGAAGGGGGGCTGAAGTCTGGGATTTCAAAGGGGAAGTAGGTAATTCACATGTAGAGGAAGAAAGAGGGAACACATGGCAAACAAATTCCTGCTAGGCAACCCAGGAACAAGGAGATATAGTGGGGAGTTTCTGCAAGGATTCTTCCTGTCTACCATACTTTATTCAAAATTCTAAGGTGACTATGCTAAAGTCCCCTTCCTGGAGCAGGTCTTTCCATCTGAATTCCCTTAAGCAGGAAAGGGGGGAGTGTCAAAGGTTTTTCTGAGTCTCTTGTTTCTTAATAACCAGCTTTAATCAATATTACAAAAGACACATTTTGTGGTGGCCAAACTTTGGTTTCCCTCAGGATCATCAAAAATGTGGGATGTAGGCACTCTTGTTGCTGTTTAACCAGTAAGGAAAGTAGAACCCAGAGAGATCAAATGATGTGCCCAAGGTGATGGAGACTGGATTAGAACCTGGGTTTTTCTGAATCCAAAACGCAGGTTGCAAAAGGAGCCTTAGTGGATTCTACTAGACTGAGTGCCTTAAAACCAAGGAAAGGGACTGTGTCCCTAGTGTCTAAAACCATGCCTAACGTCCAGCCCAGGCTTTTTTTTTAGCTGAGCCATCCTGCCACCTGTTGGCAGCTCAGCTTGGGCCGGGACTCAAACCACTGTTGCTCAGAGCTCACACTCTTGAGCGAGCTCTTAACCAACTGAGCCACTGGCCGGCCCCAGCCCAGGCTTTTATGGGTACCTAGCACGTGCATATGGAACGAACGTCCCAGAACCTTGACTCAAGCCATGTGGGCTAGACTCTAGGCTTTTTTCCAGAATGCAGGGTTTGAGTACTGCCTCAATGCCCTTCAACTGATGATGAGTTTGAGGAACCAAGCATCTCCCTAATTGATAGGGATCCTGAAAACACTCAAAAGCGAAGTAAAAGTTTGGTTTTTTATCTTTATGTCTGATAGAGAATTAGAAAGGTTGAGAAAACTCACGTTCTTTCATTCAGCAAATATTGTATTAGTATGTGATGTCACAGGTCAATATAGGAAAGGAACAACAAATATTGTATTAGTATGTGATGTCACAGGTCAATATAGGAAAGGAACCGAGTCTGGGCTATATGGGGTAGAGAGAAACTTCTTGAAGGAGGCTGTTTCTAAGCTGGTCTTAAAGAAGTAGAAATTGGCTAAGTGAAAAGGGATAGGGGCCAGCGGAAACAGGAAGCACAAAGGCACAGCACATGCAGAAAGCCCTGTGTGTCCTGGGGTCCAAGAGCTTCCCAGCTAAATTTGAGTTGCTGCAGAGACAGCCAAGTTGAGATTCCCAGGAGGTGGTCGAATGTATGGATCTGGATTTCAGGGGAGTGGGTAGGCTAGGAGAATAGAATTAGGAGGTCATCATATCAAAGGTAATAGTTGAAGTTTTGGAAGAGGAGGAGTGCATAAAAATTGTGTTCCTGATGAAAATCCTATGGGAGAGTTCAGCAGGGGTTGGAAACATCCTTACCATTTATAAATAAATGATATCTAAAATCCTATCCTGCTGAAATTTTTAAGCAACTTATTATGCACAGCGCCAGCACACCAATGTAAATTGCATGCTGTTCTTTGTTCTCAGTTTCAAAGGGATTCTTTCCAGCCTGCTGTCTAATCTCCACAAGGAAAGGTTAGCTCTAGAGATCAGATATCCAAACACAGAAAGCCAGGTTGCATCATTCTAATCAATAAACATTATATAAGTTAAAAAATATATTTCGCAGCTTTTATTTCTTCATTTTAATGGATATGTAAACATAAAGTTTCAGATGAAATCACATTTACATAAAAGCAGCACAACTGGAGGAAGAAAATTCAAAAAATAAAATAGTAAATTTAAATTTAAAACAGACCACCCTGTGTTCTTATTGCTTCACTTCTACAAGTCTTGATTTCCTCATGACTTGATTTCTAAAATGAAAAGCTATTTAACACACAGGCTTTGGGCCACACCACCCATAGTGAAACATTTTGATTCACTAAATCCAGCTCCTAATTTATAATAACAAACTTCTGGGTTGATTCTAATGATTAGCCAAAGATGGGTCCCACTTGTCTACATAATTATTGTATTAGTTTCCTGTTTCTGCTGTAACAAGTTACTACAAATTTAGTGGCTTAAAACAACACATATTTATTCTCTTACAGCTCCGGAGGTCAGAACTCCGGTGGTCAGAACTCCGGTATCGGTTTCATTAGGCTAATGTCAAGGTGTTGGCAAGGCTGCTTCTGCTGGGAGAGTCTAGGGAGAATCCATTTCCCTGCCTTTCCCAGCTTCTAGAGGCTGCCCACTTCCTTGTCTTGTGGACCCTTTCTCCACCTTCAAAGTGCATCACTCCAATGATGATGCTTCCATCATCACGTCACCTTTTCCTCTTCTGTAGTCAAATCTCCCTCCACCTCCCTCTACTAAGGACACTTGTGATTACATTTAGGGCACATCCCAAAAAATTCTAGACTATCTCCCCATCTCAAGATCCTTAACTTAATCACATCTACAACATAAGATCTTCTTTTTTGCTATATAAGGTAACACTCAAAATTCCGGGGATTAAAGCATAAATATCTTTGAGGGTCATTATTCAGCCTACCGCAATAATCTGCAAGCTCCCCTAACAGTCTGTATTCCATGTTTCCAACAAGGTTAATTAGAAATACTGGACTCTTTCCAGAGGAAAAATGGTGGCTGTAGCTGCATCTCTGCTCTGACTTCTCTTCATTTCCCTTCTCTTCATTTCTTCTTTCCTCCATTCCCAGTAAAAGGAAGTGAGGTGCACCATCTGCTCAGGGTGTTGAGTCAGGAGAAAACACCTCATAAAACTACTCTTGGCTAATAAATCATATCCTGAGGCCCAGGAGAGAATTAAAAAACTGTATACTAGGGAGCTGCCAAAGAACTGAGGATACTGAACTTACATGGAGCGCAGTCATTTGTTCTTTTATATGGAAAGGATGCATATCATTCTCTTGGAAAGAAATGAAATCATATTTTTATGTTAAATCAAATTATTCAGAAGTCTGAACTGAAGAAAACATACAGGCACACTTGCTAAATGTTAGGGTTTTTTTGTTTTGTTTTGTTTGTTGTTGTTGTATAAGGCATATTTGTACATAGTCACCAAATCAGCTGGAGTTGAAGGCTTGGATTTTTCACAGCAGATATAAGGAGAGTTCAGATTCTGTCCTTGATTTCAAAGCCTTGGGAAAGCAGCCACAGAATACTGCTTCCTTAATTCAGACACCTACAGCAGTGAGAGACATGGCATTTTAAAGCTCTGACAATCATCTGTAATTTTTCTCTCAGAGGATTAGGAAAACCAACTGATGTGAGAGTGACTCAGCAGTTTCCACCCTCCTCTTCAGCCACTGCACCGCAGCTAAAATTGAGAAACTGATTCAGGACTCACACCAGTCTCGGAGCTGGGTGGCTCCCTTCCAAACCACCAGCTGTTCTTTCTTTCTTTTCCATTTTTTAAAGCAGTCTGAAGCAAATGCTTCAGAACTCCATATACTAAGCCTCCTTTCCCTTGTTCCAGACATACGTATAACCCTGGTCTCTGTTCTGAGGCCAGCAGTCACAAAGAATGGGGACAGTTCAGCTGCATTCCTCCGCACTCACTCACTTCCCTGCCTCCTGCAGAGAGAAACAACGGCAGCAGTTGAACAAAGTGAAGGCACTGTAACCCTCAGTGGCTTCAGTCACAGATTGGTCTAAAATTCCATTTCACAGAACTGAAGATAATTGGGGTCATTACCATTTCTCAGCATCTCAAATTCAATACTGTTGATGGTGAGCAAGAACTTCATTTAGAGAAAAGAAAATTGTGTTCCGTGGAGAGTCAGAATGCTGGATGGTCTCTGCCATTCCCCCAAAGAAATCATTCCAAACTGCATGCCACTGCTGTTAACCAATCTGTGTATAATAGAACTTGATGTTTTTAATGCTGATAGATTTTCAAATATACCAAGAAAATTGTGTCTGGAGGCAAAAAGAATCATTTCGCTTCCATTGCTTTCTCGGTCATAACATTTCACATTTGATATTCCTTCCAAATATAGACAGCTGTTGGTTTGATCATCACTCATACATGCAGGCGTGTTGCATCCACTCATCCTTCTCCATGTGGCTGAGAGCTCTGGAGGGCTTACCCTCCACCCACTGACGTCCTTCTTATATCTATTAAAGACATGCGCTCAGAGGGTGGCGTCTCACTCCTTGAGTGAAGCTGCACTTTCATTATCCTGGGCTAAAAAATGATGTACTTTCATTAGGATCAGCTATGGAGGGAAATGACCATTTGTTTTGATGATTAGGTTAGGGAGGGGGAGCCTCTAATCTCTCAGCACCAAAGATAGACTCACATTAGGATAAAATCTAAGTGAAAACTAAAGCAAACAATGGATATCTATTGAGCACCTTCTGTAAACCAGGCACGTTTTCATGGAGCTTACATACTAGGAGAGAGGTCTGACAAGAATTCACAGGTGTGTTAGTGTTGTAACAAGTTTCACAGTCTCCACATACTTGCCTTTCTGGAAAAAAACCCTGACTTTATTTTCTCTGGGTGTAAACAGATGGCAACCAGAATAGACACCATTTTGCCATTGTGGACAGATTCTGGTCTGGCACTTATGAAAGCCACCCATGTCTTCAAACTTCATTTTTGTATATATATTCCATAGATGTGCCAGATAATGTAGGCCTCTGCCTGCAGTTAGGCTAATTTGGAGAACTTTCTCTCAAGGGTTTTGCCATCAGATTGAATCCACATGCCTCTTTACAGCTGCTTGTTTTAGAGTACGGATGGGGAATGGAGCTCCAAACTCAGCGAGGTTTCAATCTAGGCCCATCAAAATCTTACTACTCTGGAGTTGAGGTGATGCCTGAACCATATCCCCTCTCAGAAACTCCCTGACAGAACCAGAATTAAAGAACCTGTTCTTGGAGTGGGATAATTAAGAACAAGCCTATAAATCGACTAAGTACAGTGAAAGGTGGAGAGTCCGTGCAATATCCAGCACTCTTCTCCCAACTAATTGACGGTCCTTAAAATTCACACAGAACGTATTATTTTTCCTAAATGGTTCACATGCCAAGACATAGCAAAGACATTATGTATGGAATATCATACACTAAAATATGTCCATACAAAAATTCTTACTTTCTTAGACTGTCAGTGTTGTGAAATCTCTTTAAATCCTATTAATGGTGGCCTTTGTGTCTTTGTCGCATGCAGTATATTTCCGGATTCGGGAACGAGTGTGCCTCAGAGGACCCTCGCTGCCCCAATGCTCTGCCAGAAGGACAGGTATGAGTAAATAGAATATTAGCTTAGAGAGCTCTGAATTATAGGAATAAATGATCAGCCCTCAGGCCAAGAGCCTCTACCCACCATGGCTCTTGTAATTTAGCCTGTGAAGTGTCTAGGAGTTTGACAAATCATTAAGACAATTGAGATACAGAACAATGACAATACAAAGATTAAAATTGGATGGTGGCTACCTATGACAAAGCACCCAACCCAAAATATTGGGTTGTCAGAAAGGTCATGACATATTTTTTCTGTTTTTCATTGCAAAAATGTGTCATGGCTTTTCCGACAACCCAACAGTAAGACTAAATGTAGGACTTTTGAGAGGTTGCCCTACATACAGGGCTAAGGGGATTTCTTTGTAGATCCCCTGAACAGCATAAGATATGACAATGATGACAAAATAATCAGCCCTAAAAAAAAAATGTATGTACAATGATGTTCACACTAGTGTGTTGGTTATAACAATAAAAATATGGGAAACAAAATTTCTTCGAAAAATTTTGAAGAATATTTCATGCAGGAAAAAATGCTCATGATATAGTGTTTTCTCTTTTTAAAAAGTTCTGATTATTACTGGACTGTACATATCATAAGATCCTCATTTTGGAGGATAAGAATGGAAAGAAATATACCAATATGTCAACATTGGGTTATTTCTGGATGGTGAGATAATGGATTATATTTTATATTTTTTTTTACAATAAGCATATAATGCTTTTCTAATCATGAGGAAAAATCACCTAAAAAGTTATTACAAGAAGTATGTATGGGTTGGGGATGGTCATGTGCCATGGCCCCCGAGCAACCCCATCCAGGACAGAATTCCCCCAGGGGTTGCTTGGTGGGAAGGTAGGATGCTTTTCACATTGGAGTGACGTTATTTATTGCTTCCTTTGTTTTAGAACAATCCTCAAGTTTGTCCCTACAATCTGTATGCTGAGCAGCTCTCAGGATCAGCTTTCACATGTCCACGGAGCACCAATAAAAGAAGGTACAAGAATTAGGTTAATTCTGACCTGCAGAACGTGTGAGATATGACTAGGACTTTGTGCTGCCACCTACACCTGGGCCACAGCCTTTCAAGGCTGCCCAAGATCCAGCTTCTTACTGGCTGTGCTCTGAGTCATGGGCAGGGGAGGATGGGCCTTGTCTCCAGCTCGAAGTGACTGGTGGATGAAGCTGAGAGGGCCGCTGCACAGAGCCTGGAAACACACATGCAATTCTATTTACAAATTCTCACTTGTATTCAGAAGAAAATGTTCCCAATAGTCTGGCCTCCCCCTACGGATTGTCCAGTTGAGTTTTGCATTTTGGGTTGCTTTTTTGTTTGGGTTTTTTAAATAATTAACTCAAAATTATTGAAGATTCAGCACAATGTCTTCCTTAGCTGACTGTTCTTTGCACAGAAAGGTTGGATAATCCAAGCTTGGGTAGTTGAAAGGTCATGTGTTACAGCCCCTTGTGGTTTGCATTAATAAGGTTTTTATTCTTTGGAATTTGCCTTTGCTGGAAACCAGTACATTCATTAGCACAATGTGTCTTATTCCATGTTTGCTCTAATCCTACAAGGCAAGGTCAATGAACTCACTCCTTTGATTAACTCCTATGGGGCAGGTTGGATGCAGTAGGTGTTGTGGTTTGGGGAGATAATAAGTGTTGTGATTTAAACAAGTAATGTCTAATTATAGGAATTTCAGGCTAGGGCATCTGTGAAGAGGGCTGCTACTGATATTGGAGGTTTGGGAGGTGGGCAGGTGTTCATGTACTACTTAGTGGAAGGGACTGGGTTTATCTCCATGAAGTCCTCCTGAGAAGCAAATGAGATAGTACAGAAGCATGATGGAATACACAAATGATAGATTGGTCTGCTCAGTGGTTAATCATGTCTACTCTAGAGTCAAGCCCCCTGAGTTTCGATCCTGGCTCCTTCTCTCTCCAGCTATGTGAACTTGGGCAAGTCATCTACCCTCTCAGAGTCTCTGGTTCTTCATTTGTCAAAGAGATAATACCTATTTCATAGTTGTGGTGAGGACTGAAGGAAAGAATGTATGTAAAGTGCTTAGCACATTGCCTGGCACATGGCGAGTGCTCAGTTAACATTAATTATGATAAGCATCATTATTGCCACCATAGCAAAGTTTCTCTCCTCCAATACAGAGTATCCTTAGGAGGCTCTCAGAGAACTGAGTGTGAGATATGGCAGGTGCTATGCTACCATGTCAATATCAATATGGCTTCTCTCTCAATAGATAACAGGCAGCATGGAGGGAGGAAGAGACAGTTTCCCATACTTATCAAAAATCAAGGGTTAATTTTACTGCTGTTTAATCATCTCTCTCTGCAAGCCCACAGTCAAGGCAAGGCAAAAAGACAATTCCTGTCCAATCTAATTTATGACAACCTGGCCTCCATGACTATGTTCTTGACTTTATGTCCCATTCACTAACGGGACACCTGGACTCCGGGTTCTGCTGCCTGCTCCATTATGCAGCAATATCTTCTGCCAGCAGGAGCTGAGCTCTGATCCAGGAGGCTGAAAAGGAGCTGTTGACATTTCATTAAGAAGCTGGCACCATTCCCCAAATGAGAATTAAATCTCTGTCCAGGGCAATGTAGTGCTGCCTGGGGAGTTTTATAAACTCAGCTAAAAAACAAGGGACACCAGGCATGGCTCACCCATCTCTTTAGAATCCTTCAAAGGTATCTACAAGAATACTATGAAAATGATCAAAATCCCCAGTGGGAAAATGGAACTAGCTCCATCCATAGATGAGCAAGACTGAAATTCTTACAGTTAATCACTACTCATTAAAACTGCAGAGTGCCGGGCCCCCACAAAACTATCAGAGTTTATATCTATCAAAGCTTAATGTTTATCATATTAGTTAACTGATCCCTTAGGTCCTGGGAAGGAAAGAGAATGTGGAAAATTTGGGCCATCGTAAAAACCCAAATGATTAAGGGTGGACAGACAATTCAACACACATTTAATAAGTGAGCACCAACTGTGTGCCAGGCATTCTAAGTACAGAAACTGAATCCTCACAACAGTCCTAAGAAATAAGGATAGCGAAGACAGGATCAAGAAAGTTTTGTAACTTGCGTGGGATTACACAGGTGGTTCTAAGACACACACACACGTGCGCACTCTCAACACCATATACTACTAGAAGCTGGAGAGGCTTAGTTTTTTATGGCCTGAAGTCCAAAGTCTGAGGTCATATCATCTAGAGCCACAGAAATCAAATGGCAACTGGACAAATATATCCTTTTTAACTCCCAAGTGGTTCAGTTTGGGGTCAGGCCAACTCCCTATCCCAAAGTAGACTGTTCTAGGGCTTAAAGGGCCAGAGCCTGTTAAAACAGGTCTGGTCTCCCATTGTTAAAAGTAGTGTTACCCTTCCTTCTGTACTCTGTCAGGGTAATGGCCTCTGAAAGGACTTGAGTCCTCCTTAGTTTCAGAGTCCCTCTCAACATCTGAGAGGTTGTCTTCCTGGTGTCCTTCATAGTTCCTTCATCAGAGTCTTCTCTTTCTGAAGCCTGAGATCTGAGTCCTGGCAGGAAGATCTTTGGCTCAGGCCTTGACATATACAGATAGTAAAACTTGAGATGTAGGAAGAAATGAAGTAATGAAGGAAGGAAGGAAGGAAGGAAGGAAGAAGGAAGGAAGAGAGGGAGGGAGGAAGGAGCTATACATGTACTATAAGAAAATACGGGCAGATAGTCTTATCATTTTAGAGCACAGAAGTGTTAATTTCCTAAACCTCTTAGAAATTAATATCAAAAAGACAAATAACTCAATAGAAAAATGGCAAAGGACTTGTATAAGTAATTTGTAGAAAAATTACAGAAGTCCAATAAACATACAAATTCTCAACCTTACTCATAATAAAGAAATACAAAAGTAAAATGAAATACTATTTTTTACCTGTAAGGCCCAAATTATTAATAATACCCCATATTTTTTAAGATGTGGGTAATTAGGCACGCTCATAAATTTTTGTTGTGAAAGTAAAGAGGTACAAGGATTTGGCAATTTTGCTCAAATATGCATTGAACATAACTGAAAAAATATACAAGAAAGATTTTAACTTCTGATGCCTCTGAGGATTGGCCCTGAAGAAACTAAAGGAGAAAGCCATTTACCTTTCAGGACTTTTTGAATTACTTGAATTATTTTTTACCACTGGCAAGTATTACTTTCATAATTTTAAAGAAGAAAATTGATTTATGTTTCAAAAATAACAAAGAAACCACCCATATCCTCTCAATCTATGTAGGATTCATTGTCCTCACCTTCCAGATCAAGGATTAGTGTCCAATGACATACACAAGCTAATGTTTTTTTATGGATTTTCCTGCACAGATATCCCTCAAGGTACTTCCCCTTCTTTTATCACTGTCATTGGGAAAGACAATTCTTCATTTTTTGTCAACATGGGAATAACCAAGAGTCAGAGCCTTAATTTGAAGAACAATAGGTGGAGTGGAAAAGGGAGAAAAGGCCCAGGCTATGGGCAGCAGTGGTTATTAAGTGATGCTGTGTCATTGCTTCTCACATTAAAGCCCGCAGATCGTTGTTGACTTGAATATCTTCCTGATGGTATTTCCTGAGCCAGTCTGTATATCTATCACTCATAACATCACCATAAGACTTATGTGTCCTTGTTTCCTCCCAGTTGGCTGTATAGGATTCTACCTTCAGTTTCTCACAAGCCCTTTGAATCCATTGACGAAGGCCATGTTACTCACAACTGGGATGAAGTTGATCCTGACCCTAACCAGGTAACTGGGTCCTGTGAAATGGAGCATACCATGTATCCAAAGCCTCGAATAGAAATCTTTAAGTCAAGCCTGAGAAATTATATATTTTTTAAAAAGAAATGCTAAATGTATCCGTTATTTTGCTCAAACTTGGGTGGGAATTTTGGATTCGATTGATTGTGTGCATGCACGTGTATATGTATGTAAGCTTGTGTTTTTCTAGCCTAATAGCTTCTAGGTAGGCACAGAAGTGGTTCTGACATGGCAGGAGTGCCAAGGTGACCCGGATGCAAGGAAATTATATAGACTGCTGAAAATATCTATGTGCCCATAGGTTGGTTTGTTTATTTTAATCTAAATTTACCACAGAATATGGAAAATACATTCAACACTTAGATATCTGAAAAGAGGCCTCTGATACAACAATGAGAGGCTTGTTGGCTGAGCTGGATTCTGTGAGTCTATTGTGGTGATAGATTGTTATCACATTCTCTGAAGACATAGGGATTTTCATTCCTTGCCTAAGTTTCCTCCTTTTAGTTGAGTGACCAATGGGCTTTTCCTCGGGGCATCAATATTATTAATATATCCTACTTTCACTAATGAGACAGACCCAATGTACAATGAAGTGAGCTGTAATTTTTTTTTTTTTTTTACCTTCTGAGAACCCCAGTGTATTTATTCCCATTGTCCCTGAGCTTAGGTGCACACCATTGATAATAGACATATAATGGAGGAAGAAAAACAGACCAAGGTTTGCATCCCTACCTCCTACTACCTGCTGTGTCTTGGAGCCACAGTGTTTTACCTGTAAGCTGGAATGATCAGACATCTGCCCGCAATGCTGTTGTGAAGATTATGTGAGAGAATGGGTGTGAACATACTTCACACAGTACCTGGCACACAGGAGGCAAGAACCATGACTCTGATCCAGCCATTTTGATATGTTCACTTAAAGGCAGTGGTAGTACATATAAATCACAGAATTTATATCCACATAAATTTGTTTTCTCATTTTACATTAATTTTTATTCTGGGGTCCCCATCTGCCAAATTGGTGCAAAATAACTTTGTCTTGGTCTTGCCTGCGAATTGCCTGTCTTAAAAGATGCCAAAGTAGGAGTTGCAGTTGGGCCTTGCTGATTGGTTCCCCTCACTGGATAGTGTTGAGACGCACATTGTTCTGCTACTATCATGCCAGGTTTGGGCATGAAATCATCTACAAGGCCACTTCTGGTCCTGTCATCCTGATGTGCTACTGGGCCATTCCCTCCTTCTGGGAGTTGCCAGGTCACAGGTTCAAGATAACTCCCATTCAAAGTCCACACAAAGTTCTCTCTCTCCCTCTCTCTCTCTCTCTCTCTCTCTCTCTCTCTCTCTCTCTCTCTCTCTCTCTCTCTCTCTCACTCTCTNAGATAACTCCCATTCAAAGTCCACACAAAGTTCTCTCTCTCCCTCTCTCTCTCTCTCTCTCTCTCTCTCTCTCTCTCTCTCTCTCTCTCTCTCTCACTCTCTCTCTCTCTCCCCCCTGTCTCCCTCCCCACACCCCCCCTTTCCAAAGCCCAAGGAAATCTGCTGCCTCCCCTTGATTTACCAAGATATTTTATCTACCTACAAATCTCCTTCCCCTCAATGACTGGAATTTTTTCTATAGAACCAAAGCCAGAATAATCATAGTCACTTTTAGATTCCTGCTCTGCGCTATCTCTTCCCTAATTATGGAACTACAGAGAATTAAGTATCTGCTACTCACCTCCTCCAACAGGGACAAAAAGGGAGACATTCAGAGTGGGGAAAATGTGAGTTAACAACTTAAAAGGTTATCCACCTCACAGCTATTTTGAAATCAGGATATTTTGTCTAAACTTCCACTTGTATGAAGTTTAATGCAAGAAGCAGATATCCTCCCCAGTCCACCACTGGCCCAAACATTGCCGTTGAGCATATCAGAAAGTCAGCCTCTGCTCCAACCCCCAACCCTGCAGGCACAGTCCCCTGCCAAGACACAAGGCCAGGCTATCAGCTTCTGCCCCTTTCCCCTTCTGCCAGTCAGGGCCCTTGTGTGGGACACAATTTGTAAAGCCAACCTGGGGACCCTGTCTTCATTTTGTCCTTAAGTCTCACCTGGGCTTCTAATCCAATACCATCTCACCACCTTCTCTCCCACACTATGGGGTTAGGAATGTATTCTGGCAGACCATCCTCATTTAATCATTTACCTCACTCATTTAACCATTTATTTCACTACTCATTCTCGTCTGATCAAGGGCCATAAACCACATTAGCCAAAGTCACTGCTCATTCTCTGAGAATCTGCTTGACTCCTCAGTGGGTTACATCTCAAACTCTCTCATTTCTGTCTTAGAGTTAACATGGCCACCCTCATTTGATTTTGATTAATAGACCTGACTGCTTAGTAATGTAACTCCATCTTCCATTAGACAATATAAGGGATGGATACCTATACTTTGGTATGATTCCTGGTTGGGATAAATAAATTAAGCATTTATTATATACTTTGGAAGATTAAGAGGGTATTTAGACCACAATAAGTTTTCTAATTCTTTTCTTCAGGAGGCACAGAGAATCCCCACTTAACGTTTCTGACAGTTCTCTCAAGCAGAGCCAAATGACAGACTATGCAAAGGGTGGTTATAAAATCAGCAAGTAAGACAAACAGCACGGTAAACAAAATTACCTCTGAAAAATCTCTTAAATCACCCATCAAGTGGAGGGCACATGGTTTTGTGTGTGCTACCTTGTAAGGTAATACTTAGGTACACTAAATTTGAAAACCATTGAGCTAGACTAAAGAAGGATTACAGGAAAAGTCCATAGGCAGATGATTGGAAATTCAAATCCTGGGGCCTTTAAAATGACTATCAAATAACTAGTGGTTATTTAATAATTAGGGTTGGAGTAGGGAATTCCAGTGCCCCTACCTGCTCATATCATCCACCACAGTCATCTAAGCCTCTAGAACCTTAGTACATTTTTATAGATGTGATTGTGGTTGTTTGGGCAACAGTGGAGCCTCGCCTATTTTATATAATTTTATTTAGTATGGGGGGGCGAGCTTTTAAACCTAATCTTTAAGAAAAATGTGACTCTACTGTGCATGTGATATGTAATATGCTCAGTACTATCATTTTATTATATATTATTATTATTATTTCATGACTACTATTGTTACATTTTATTTAACATGAGATACCCCTTTATAATGTTATTTTGGGTACAGGTGGCTTATTGATGGAAGCTAAACTTGTTCTGATAGAATTTTTCTGGTTTTGTCTTGTTATGAAGGTAACATATACTTACAGAAACTCAAATGATGTAAAATTAGCAAAGTAGGAAATGGAAGTCTCCCACCAAAGGTGGGAGTCAAGTATGCCATTTGGGCATGTTAATTCATTATATCATAAATAGTTAACATACATTTTGAGAGTTTGTTTGGAGGTTCTAGCAGGGGAGCACAGCTACTCATATACCCTTGACCGAAGAACAGTCCTCTGCTCTATCGGGGAAGGTCGTCCTCTTCCACCGAGCGCGCAGCTTCGGGAGGGACATGGAGCAGTGAGGGAGGAAAGAGACACCCGCCTAGCCAGCCAGATCAGCCGAATCAACCCTGGCGATCAATGGGGTGACAGAGGTCGCAGCCACATCGCCCTCACATCCATAACATACATTTTGAGAGGGAAGTTTCAAGCAGCTGCATTTAAAAGCGTGAGTTAGTACAGAGGCATCAAAATAGCTACATCAAAAGTTTCTGCTTACTTTTCAGGAGACTTTCAATACATATCTATTTCCTTCCTCCTTCCCCATGTTTCCCATTCTAAACTTTCTTTGTGTTTCTCCTTGAACTCGCTACCTTTCCCCAGTTTGAATTCCTTCAAACACTTTCTAAATGGTGGCCACCAAATGAATTTCTTCTCCGGTATTTCCCTGGCTCATTTTCCACTTTGTGTTCACACACTTTGGGACAGCTGTACCCCAGAACGCAATAGTGCCTCTATGAACACCGGCTCCATCAACACAGTGGTCTGTCATCTTCCTGCTCTGTGATCTCTGTCACCTGCGTCCTGCTCCCCTTGCCCTGATACACACGCCCTGGTTGCTCTTGCTGCACCTAGGCTTTTGTCTTTCCATTTACACCTTCTTGACAAGTTAATATCTCTTCCCAATTTTATGCTTCATTAATAACCACAGTAATCTGCATTCATCACTTGTCCCCCCTCATAACCTCTTCCAAATATGTATTCCAGACTCCCACTGAGAAAGTCTGAGAAAATTCTATTTAGGTACCTATCTGACAGTTGAAGCCTGTATGGTAGGTATGTCTTCACCTGTCACAGATCGAGTCAAATAATACATCAGCTTCAGCAACTCCCCACACTAATCATCTCTGGGAATTTAAAGACCTGAGGATTATCTAACGTTTCCTCCCGGAGAACATCATGCCACATGCTATCATCACTGATATCTCTTTGATAACCTCCCAGGAAGATTGGGGACTATCCCCATAAACCTTCATTTTTTTTTTAGTGTATATTTAATCAATTGTCTAAGAATTAATGCAAACTCTTTTTGAGTATATTTAGATTCAGCCTGAGGATATTACAAGCTCAATCCATTAATATCTCACATAAGAAATATACCTAATTTTTTCATCATTCACCTTCCTCTAACTTCTGAATCTCAAAATTTAACAAATACATCTGCATCCAATTTAACTGTGATTTTACAGATTTCAATTAGCATTCCCAAATCAGCAGTCCTCTTAAAGGTCAGCATCCTTTTAAAGTTTATCTTTCTTTATTACTAAATCCCCAACCTCTTGATTGTTGGAAAGTCAGACTCTTGACCCAGTTAAGGCTCAGCTGAGGAAATTACCTTTTAGTTCTCAACCAATATAGTTTGGACCAAGTGATAAACACATCAAAGTTAACTAAAGACTACATCATAAAATTCCCTCTGCCTCCAGGACCTGCAAATTATCAAAAATATTTCAAAACAATACA